ACACACACAGACAACCCCGTAACAATATGCGTTTCGTACTGCTGTTACACAGCACAAAACGCATAACAAAACGGACAAGCCGTAATCCAGTAGCATCCAGTAATGCCGAGCAGTTCGTGCGAAAGAGATCGAGAGAAAGCATTTCACAACCTTCTGTTAATGCTACTGATGCTTGTGCGTGTTTCTCGATGGCCAATTTGAGGGCGTTCTGATTTCTTAACATGGCAAGAACGGATCGAAGATTACAGTGGATAACATGAAGTTTGGTTTTTCTCCTTAATGATAAATTCGAAGCAAAGGCTCGAGAAGATTAGAGGTCAGCTAGCACAAAACAAAATTTGCTAACATTTAAGCACTGCAGGTACTCAATGGGAATAAATGCCCCGTATTATTTGGCAGCAGATTTCCCGCAAAGGCAATACGAAAACTTAAGTTTTAACGACGGGTAGGAAAAAAAATTTTCCACAAGCAATCACAACTTTGCAACCCAATCAAATTCTTTAATTTTAACAGAGTGATGGAAGCTATGTAGCCAGAAAAATAAGCATAGTAATGCACAAATTTTTTCTTCTGTTACCACAAATTCCGGCAGTTTTCTCATTTTGCATGCAACGACGTCTACAATATGATCACTGCTATTCCCAACACAATACAACGAGCTAATGGACAAGAAGCGAGACCACAAAAACCTAGGCTAGAACCCACCAGGCGGGCCGGCGGTGCGAAAATGCATTTTTGCGTTAAAGTTGAAGCAGTCAGGTCGCCAACGGTATAAATGGTATTGTTCCTTAACATTTAACTTGCGCACTCACTGCCGTAAATCATCGCAAATTTTGCAAAAAAGGAAAATGAATAAGTTTCAAAATTGAGCGGGTCGTCCACAGAAGATGAACTGGCTGTTCTTGCTCTTGAATTTGCCATTTTCCTGCCCAAATATTTATGTATTCGTGCGTAAAAACCACGCATACCTAGGAATTGAGCTTGAAAATAAGCAGTAAACATCCCTTCAAAATTTCACCTTCCAATTTTTCTGGTTCCCGAATTCTGGTTCCCCAGTTTTTCTGGTTCCCCAATTTTGTCAATAAAAGTTTCTCGTGCTTGTACGCAGGACCCAGACGTGCTTGGTGGTTGGTACCGTGTTATTGCGAACACACTAACAAAATTTCGGCGTCGAAATTCGCTTGGTTGCCAAGTTGAAATACCCGGACACGTACAAAAATACACATGTGCACACACACATACACACAAACGTACACACACACATACACACAAACCATGGGTCGTCACAATATGTGTTTTGCGCTTGAATATAGGCGAAAAAGAAATCTAACTTTACCTGTACAACAATATTTTGATAAGTGCATCGAATAAATTCGCTTAAATGCTTTACAACCACTGATGAATAATTAAGCCTTTCGGTAGTTAAACGGCTAACATTCAACGCACGTAATGCCCTGACCTGGAAAGAATAAATCTTCCGTTCTCTAGCGATAATGAAGAAAATCGACGGCCGGAAACGACGGCCCGGACAAGTGGCACATGGAGCAGATACGTCATGATAAAAACCATGGAAGCGTTGTCAGCGTGTTACCAAATGTTGTGAAACAAAGGCCAGTTAAATCAAAATTAGCAAAATTATGTTATTAGAAAAATTAGTTAGCAAAATTAGCGACAAAAAAAGACGGAATTTTTACAATGTTATTTTAAAATTTTAATTTTTTTAACTTTAATTTCTAGTTTTAATTTTGGATTTTAAAAAAATAATTTTAATTTTGGAAATTTAAAAAAAAGTTAAAAAATTAAGATTAAAAAAAGTGAAACCTAGGATCAGCAAGAAATGATTTTTGACCAGTGCAAGGGGGGACTGGACGACCACTGTATCCCAGTAGCATTCGCAGCGACAGTCCGGTGGTTCTGCTACCATTTTCTGAATACAAATGCATACCTTACTCTTATAATCGGGCGGTAAACTGTAATTCTCAGACGAATGATAAACGACGGTGAAATCGTCGGTTGGCGCGGTGCCAAACAACACAACAGCCAATCCAGTACTATTCAGTTTGCCGTACAATGTGGGTGGCATGCCTGCTCTCCTTCGAACCTGAAAAAATGCGCATTTCCAACAACAACGGCTTTTGCATGCAAACAAAACGATGCTAAGAAAGGTTTTGAATAATTCTTGCTTACATCAAAAAAAAAAATCCTGAAAAAAAGAAAAATTTTGGCCAGTGCATTGACGGCCGGTGCGAAGATGCGTTTTTTGCACAGTTCCCACACAGCTTTTTGTCCAATAACGACACTATTTTTTCGACAGATGCTTTTAACTAAAAGAATTGAGAATGGGCGCCACGAATGTCAGAAATTATTACAAGGATCGTGCTCAAAGAATGCAGCACTCTAGATGCTTCGGTTGAGAAGTTATGTCAAATTTGACGTGTTCGCAGGTGAAAAGAACGTGAATGCTGTTTTCACGTGCATCTGCCCAAACTCAGTCCTGGGTCACGCTCAGAAATATTCTGCACGGCAGATGCTCTGGTTGTGGAGTTACGCCAAATTTTACATGCTTATACGTGAGACATGAAAGGGACGTTAAAGTCGTTTTCAAGTCCACCTGGCCAAACGCCGCCATTGCCTGAGAAAGTTTCAGCCCTGTAGCTGCTTGAGTTCCGGAGTTACAAAACTATCTACATCAAATTTCAAGTGTTCGTACGTGGATGCAGAGAAGCTGGAAAGCTTAATTTACTTTCACGGGCGCATCAGTAGGTGATAAGCAAAGCTGCAAAATTACAACTCTTTACAACTTCTCGGTTAGCTTAATCCTCGAGTTGGCATGATTTAAACTTTGGTGCACGCAAGACATAAGGGATGGTGAAAGCTGAATTTAAAATCTTTATTTGGACGTGGGCCAAAATTTCAGATTTATAGTTTTCGTAGGTCTTGAAGTGGAAACTCAGTACAGACGCACATACAGACACATACATAGAAACCCATATAAAAAAACACACCTGCACAGACACACACACACATACACACACAGATAATTCATCGACAATATGTGTTTTTGCATTGCATAGACGCAAAAAACGCATAAAAAGAGCAGAAAAAAAAATTTTGATGTTTGGATTTACTCGCAAACAGAGAGCACATTCCAAGCATGGCTTTCGATTGGGTAAATTTTACCTGAATTCGATGAAGCTGAACGACTTGGCCAACTGCCACTACATCAGAAAAGCAATTATCCAGGCTGCTATATATGGAACATTTCGTGAAGCTCGACGTTGTATTATCTCGCAAATGCATTTCTGTTATCAGTGTATCTGAAGCGACATTTTTGTCATCAATAAATGATTTTTTTCAAAAAAAATTGTCCTGGCACCCAATAAATAATTTTTTTTTAAAAATTTTTGGTGCCACAAAGCAGTAATCTTCGTTTGTTTTAGGAAAATATGATAAACAGTCTTTCAAACGAAAACAAAAAAAAATTCCAAGCTTAAGCTAATAGCACAAAAAAAAATTCCAAGCTTACCGTCGCCAGTTAAATCAGTTGATCGGAACGTATTAATTTCAGCGATCACACCATAAACGTAAATCTATAAAAAATTATCTTCACAAAAAAAGTGGGATAATCCAAAAGAATTCGGTAGCAGTGAGGCAAAATTGAAATGATGCTCATGTGAAGCAATTAAAATTCCAACTCTCACTGTCATGAACGGAGTCTACCTTTGAAAAAAAAAAAAAGGAATATGGATCGGAAGAGAATAGAGCCACTCGAGAATCGAGTCCTCGCCCAACCTTCAACGTGTTTAGCATGAAAGAACAGTACAGGCAGTGGAGGCCCTACGAGGGTCATATTAATGGAAACTATAAATAGCCCGCCCGGAGGGCTGCAAACACCGGCCGACGTAATTGCGGGTCAGAAATTAAAATACAAACAAATTTAAAAACGGTCCGACCGACGTCAGTAGATCGGTGTATGAAAGGGGAGAAAATTGAAACATTAGATTGTTGGGTAGGATTGTTGGCTAGATTGTTGGCTAGAGAAGATTGTTGGGTAGGAAATGTACGTAAACTGTATGTCATGTAGAAGGGTCATTTACAGAGGAGTACTACGAAACACAAAAACTCATAATAATCCTTGCCGGATGTTTCCACCTCTTTTGCATCACCTTCATGTCCCACTTGATTTACACTTCTTTTTGCCTGATTTTATGAACAATTATCATTCTTTCATTTCCACATATTCCCATTCATTTCCCAATACTGGGAATAATAATCACCATCATCAAAATCGTTATGCAACAAGGAATATGCATTTAGCAGAAGGAAAAACTCACTCGTTCATATTCGGAATTTCGTTGCAGCTCCGCAAACGTAATGTAGGTGTAATTCGATCGTCGTGCCATGCCTTGTGCTTCTTAAAATTCACTCGCATACGTGAACAAATTGTATCGAAACAAATCGCAAATCGGGCTAGAGAATGCTGCTTCGCAGGGTCTCAACGCAGAAGGTGGCCACTTTCGAGCCTCCGTGTTAACAAGGGCTCAAAACAGTCCCTGATGGCTTACAGGGGAAAGCCGGTGAAGCTGCTAATGATGCTGAGCACGTGTTTTCGTGTGCTTCATGAGAAATACGATTTCCTGGCTCGGCTCGGCTTCAATAGGAGCTTCAAGAAGTGGCCTCCTCAAACAGCAACAGCAGCTGGCTGTCGCCGATTTCTCGATTCATCCAAAAAAAGTCTGATGTTGGGGATCGCATTTCACTGCCTCCCTCTGCCAGACATTGGCGAATCCTATGGGGGAGAGAGGAAGGGAGCGAGGGGCCTCTCGCTTGCTCTTTGCTTCTCCTGCGCACCAT